ATGCAATTGTATGCCAATACGAAATAAAAATTTTGTAGTAATGGAAAAATATTATTTTTATTATTTTCTATTTATCTATTATTATTATTTTTATTTATTTTATTTATTTTATTTTTATTTATTTATCTTATTTTTTTTGCTCCGAGGAAACATTCTTGCAAAAATTAAGCAACCTTTAAGTCTCAAAAATAGTTTTCGGTTTAATATAGTCTTTAATATAACCAATAATTTGATGGTTTTGCAACATGTAATCACCATCATAATAATCAATTATTAAATCCATATCTTATTCAATTTAGGGCCTCATATTTCCATTTTCCGAGTAACAAACATAATCTCATTTCAAATGTACTTGCATGTAGACGGGTTTTTTTTCGATTCCAAAACTCCATATTCGCATTTCATATTGTACTCGCAGAAACAAAGTAGGTTAATATAAAATGGTGGTGTGAGGAAAAAGTGCCTTCAGTATACAGCTCTATGAGAAATAAAACTGATTATGGTGAACTCGTAAAGGGCATAATTCCAGCTGCAAAACCTATATTGGACTCATCTAAGCACCTGGCGGTCTATATTAGGCTTGACAGTTTGTGTAAGTCGTCCAAAAAAGCTGCAATTATACTTGATAATGTATACATGTATAATGGACTTTTATTCTTAAACAGAACAGGTCTTTATTAACTTAAGTTTCATAAGGTAGCACATGAGTATATATTAAAACAGTGATCGAATCCTGTTATAGCATTATCAGCGATGGTTTTTTAAATTTCTTTCCACCAGTAGGAATATATTATTATCATTCATAATAAATTGAATAATTGAAATGATATCTTACCACTCAGGTGAAAGTCATTAGATATATTAAAGAACATGTGGCTTGGTCAATCCAACGGCCGGATCTTCTTGTTGTATGAATTGGTTACAAAAAGTTGTGTATGCAAGTCTTGAACATCATCATGTGAATATTCTTTACGAGTCCATTGAATTTAATATCAGTATAGTGACAAATATTAGCCAAATATGTTCGCAGTATTCACATGACTAAGACAAAAAGAACTTGGTTCGGATACTTTGATACCTTTTACTAGCAACCAGCTTCGGGTGACAATATTAAAGAATATTATGCAATTCAGGCTAGACTATGTACACTTATTGACGTTTGCAGTCAAAGTAATTAGTTTAAAAATGAAGACTTTTCGTTTCATTAATTATGATAATTTGATAGAATGCTTCATAATTCTTTCATAATACATGAAACAGAATTGAATTGATTCAAATGGTTAGTTTTGTAGAACTATTCCTGGGGGAGGGGTTCGAAAGGAGAATAAGATCATCCAAATGATATATATATTCACAATGCATACAATCATCAGCTTGAAATTATACCTTTCGTCACGTTATTGCAGTTATGACGGGTTAACTCTTATTAAACTATATAAACTACACTAACGTGACTATTTAAGCTTTATTATCGTACCTAATGCTTTGCTATACGTCTGGTAAATGTTCTGTTCACAATGAACCTTACAAGGCAAAAGGATGTTCAATTGGAAGAAGTAATTAAAAGATAGTTTCATCTTATATGAAAAAAACGATTTTTTCTTAAAAAAGGGAATAAAGTGTTAATTAAACCACCTTTTACACCTAGGCCTGAGTCATTGTTGTCTTCAATTTAGGTGTTAGAAGGTTTCAAGAAAGAAATTTTAAAGTTCATAAGTACTCACGGCAGGTGATGTTAATGAGAGACTGGTACTTTGAAAAAGATGTATTATTAATTGCCTTTTTAGGAATTAGGAAATTAGTAACTAAAGTTAACAACGTCAATGGAAAGTTGGTAAAGCCAATACGTCAATGTTTGGGTAAAAGGCAAGTCTAATTGAAAAATTGCGTTTTTGAGAACTTTCACCGGGAAGGCCACCGAATTAAACAATATCCTCTAATTGATGTTATAACTCGGTCTGCTGAATGAATGAAATTGTGAATGAAAAATTATTTAAAACTTGTTATTGGTAATGCGGCAACTAGGATACAACTTTAGAAAAATTTACGACATTTTAATTGATTTTGTAACCTTTATAGTCGTAACTGTTTCCTGTATTTTCACATGCACATTTAGTTAATCAAATTATTGTCCTTATACTATAAATATTTTTTGTAAGTAATTAGTTAGTCTCCCGCATGGATGTATAATCTGGTCGTTTAAGTGAGTCTTTTCGTACTTCACCTTAGTGTAGTTATATTTTTTTCTGGTCATTTTTTGATCATTAACTTCCGCAACATTTAAGTACAGCTCTCCAACCGGGTGTTGTACTTTTTTGTTATCCATCATTTCATGGTACACAATCAAACCGAGTCTGCAAAAATTTTCATGTAATTTTGCTGTTTTTAATGCTTTCAAATGGATCACTTTTTTTTCCAAATATTTTTTATTTTAAATAATTTTGTTATTAGTGGCATATAATGTGTTTAACTAACTTTTACTTACATCAGCATTTGTAAACAAATGCCCTGTACATTATAAAATGTGTTATATAATTTTTTTTTTGCCACCTATTTATTCCGGTACTTTTTTGTGTGCGAAATGAAATATTGCTTTATATAGTTGATGAAGGGTAAGTTGGAAATTAATTCATTAACTCTTAATGCACAGTCCACAAGTAATAATCTTTGGAAGATTGGTGGATCCGGAAACATTCACCACAAGCAAAATTACATGAACTTGCAGACTCGGTTTGATCGAGTCTCCACATAAGGGGTAATGAAAAAGTGCAACATCTCTCACCCCCACTAGCATCGGCTTGAGCGGTGCTCAAGAGGTGGTACTCTATTTCAAACGCTCAAAAGTACTGGCATTAATGATCCCGAAGGAAAACCGAGTCTGCCATGTTCATTTAATGTACATTGTTTCTCATTTTTCTCGAGGAATCCCCTCTTTATCAGATTTTCATAACTTTATTCTTTAGTTATCGTCTAACCTGTGATTTTTTCTCCGTTTATATCTCTCTGGGGAGTCTATTTGTAACATATCCAGACAACATCTTGTAAATTTTCATTGCAGAAGGTTTTACACTGCTATAGGGAAATCAATAATAAACACTTTCATGTGTCGAGTTATGGTTTATTTATAAGGAAAATGACTAGTATACATACATGTTGTAAGGGCAACGTGAGAATTTAAACATATATTTCTTTTCATTTCTTAATTTAGATTATAATGTACTTTTTGCGCAACATTTTTGTCCATGGCTCAATCTAAATAACCATAACAGATAGTTGGCGATAAAAATCTTTTTATGTAGTTTTTAATGATATAATAATTCTATTGATTTATCATGATGATATAATAAATCTCGTGGTTGAAATGACTATTTATAAATGTGATTATTGTTAATAATTGCATCTATTAACATAGACGCTAGAATAATGACAGCTATACATAGGTATTGACAACATAAAATACGAAAATAAAATACGAAGAGAATATTTTTCGACGACAAAATAAAACAATCATTAAATGTCAATTTTATTAGTTTGGGCAAATTTATTTTACAAGCATCAATCAAGAAAATGATTATATATTTTTGACTAAAAAACATGACATTCATTGCTTGTCAACAGTAAAAGTAAGTTCTTCGCTATTTCCCCATAATTATAAAGATCAACGTTTCCTAAATGCTTCCAAATCACATTGAGAAAACGTATGTGTATATTCTTTTCTATGTTAAAGTAATAACTTAACTTGATATATCACCATCCATGCCTAACTATGAAATTAGTTATATATACATGCATGAGTAATAGATTTACCAAGATGATATTAGATAATGATTTTCAAAATCTAAAAAAAACATAGGAACAAATACTGTGAAATGGCTGCTAAAACACAAAATTAAAAAAAAACAAGCAAATGTTTAAATATCAGTATGATAACAACAAAAAAATAAATACTTAAAAATGTATACGTGTAAAAATTCATATATTTTCTAGTACATTCTAACACGACCCGCATTTTTTACTATTAAACACAGAAGGGCCGAAACAGTTATTATTTTATAAAATCACTGTTGACGTTCTATATTTAGACATGTGACAAAATCGGAGATCGCTTGATAAAATCACTGTTTATCGTGCGTATGCACATCATTATACGCCCCCGTGATATAATTCCTTGCATCAAAACTCCAAACAGTGATTCTTTTTTTTAGCTATAAAATCACTATTTAGGATACATTATTTCTTAATTAAAACATTGGACGTGGTGCAAGGTACTTAATGTCTATCAGGATTGTTCAGAAGTGCCAGTAATATTGTAATTGTCACGGTAAATGTAACGACGCTTCCTACCCAGAAGCATAGAAAGTCAATGGCATCAATAACATCTGGCCAGGTAACCGTTTCATTTCCCTCGCCTGAACTTTCATCGATTCCATTATCATGGCTTTGTAAATTGGAAACCTTACTGGGGCGTGGTTTACATGTTTTTACAACGAAAGCATTTGACTAGTTTATAAAGGCATCTGTAACATCCGCCTACTGGGCAATTTGTCTCTTTCCCGGTTTAGAAGTCGCAGCTGCAATACAGTGATAATAACAAATATTGTGGAAATGCTTGTCATGATTGTGAGGTACAGAGCTAAATATGAGAGGTTGTCCGAGTTCTTGGGAAATTCCGCGGCGACGATGGTTAAGAAAACAGAAATTGATAAGAAAAGGGTAACGGCGTACGATGCCCTTTCTCCCGACTTTGCAGGCAGCGTGAACGTAAATATATTCATTATCGAAAGAAAGATGATAGGAATTACTATGTTCAACATGTAAAATAGGGGTTTCCTCTGCAAATTCAGAGTGAATGTAGCTTTCGGTATGTACAAGTTATTATTGAACTCTGACACTGCAGAAACAATCTTCCATGTTGAGCTTCCTGAATATTCAGCCAGTCCGAATCCTTTTTGTGTTAGTAACTCAATTTCAATGTGTGTGTAACTCCAAACTACAAATACCATACTACATTTCTGGGCATCAAATGGAAAGTATGTGATATCCACGGAACATGTTGACTTCAACACCTGAAACAAAGTTTAACAGCTGCTGAATATACAATACAGAGGTACTGGGTTTTTAATGGTTAAATGGTTTACAAAACATTATTTTAGAAAAAGTGAAATGATGTTGCAATTTATATATCAGAATTTAATAACGTATAAAAAAGATGTTTGCATTTTGATAGTGCAGTCCTATTCACGCAAACAATGGAACATTAAAAATGTTGCTGGCTTGCTTTAAATGAGCCTATTCAAGAACAGTAGTGGAATGTGCACCGACTTTAGCAGAATGCAACATTTTAACATGAAATGGTAAATATAAAACATAACATTGTGTGTTCCCTGTTTTATTTTTAACTCTTTAAAAAATAGTTGAATTTCTTAAAAGGTAATGTTTGATTTGTCTATTATCATCATTCAAAATATGAATATGAATTTTAAATTGGCCTGCCAACGTTATATAACAGTACTTAGAAGTTGCTCATTTTAAACATGCCCTAATGGTAAAGGTTTAAGTGTGCTCTAATGCACGATATGTCTCACAAACAAATGCATTTGTATTTCTTTCGAGCAGGCAAACATGCCCTGGATGTAAAGGTTTAAATGTGCTCAAATGCACGATATCCCTCGCAAACAAATACATTTGTATTTCTTTCGAACGGGCAAACATGCCCTGGTGGTAAAGGTTTTATTATATGTTTCGGTTCCAGCCGTGTAAGGGTTAATCAACCCGAAGATTTCACAGATATTAAATAATAGATGACCTTATCACAAGAAAAAAAATGCATGTGTTATATTACATAAATCTTCAAGCTTAAAGCGACTCTACTGAAGCCCGAAAGCCTAAAACCATAAAATTTGAATATGTTACATAGATCAACTGGAACACATGAAATAAAAACAAATAAGCAAAAGATATTGAATAAATATACTCAGAATGAATTTAAGATCGTTTTTTTTTGTGATTACTTAGCCCGGTCTGAGCGAAAAGCGTTGCAACGTCTTTCAGTTTTAGATCATTTTTCGCAATTAGAATAATCATTCTGGAAAAAAAGCGGAGTGAAAAAAAAGGATCTGAAATTTTGCACAAGTTATTGGTCTAGACCTACGTCAAATGAAACATAAATCACGAAAAGAAATATTTCGAGTCTCGTCATGTCAAAAAAACTTTGTGGAATCCCTATAAAAATATTACAATATTTGTCAAGATACTAACCATTTAATTAATTACAATTTCAATCGACAAACTTACACCATTAATTATTATCCGAAAGAATATACATTGTATATGACATCATAAATAATGGTAACTAATGTATCTGGGCAAAATGTAAATTTACACCTTTGGCTACATGACTTTACTTTGCTGTTTAAGGACATAATATTTATGCCAGATAACAAAATAAAGTTATTTAACCAACACTTTGAACCGGAAAGTTATAACATGCACATAATTTCGAATTTTTTTACCTGGAATGGTTCCCACTGCACGAAACCTGTGCTAAGTATCCATGCGTTTAAATGAGAGGAACCAAGGCCCTTGAATGGGCTGTAGGAATTATGCAATGAAACATCCGGTTTCCAGATGTCGTCCTGTGGCTTTGAAATTGAAAAACAACAACAGCAATACCGGAATTAAAAATATTTATGCTCTGAAATTATTTTTACCTATTCTCATTCATTGTCAAATTTGAAATAAACATAAATGTGCTGTAAGGCACAATGTGCCTCAGAAACAAATATATTTGTATTACTTTCGAAAGGGCAAAAATGAATTTTATAACATTTTCTAAAAAATGGTTTTAGAGAATGTTGAATGTTTGTTGCCTTACGAAAGCAGCAATAAATTTAAAATAGTGTGTCACAAAAGTAGCAATTTGTAAACAAAGTAGTATTATGACTTCCATACATAATACAAGTTCACTATAATTGAACTTGTTGCCATAAAGCAATAGGCGAAACAGATGGTTCAGGTAATTGGCCAAATTAGTAACTTTTTGGATACTATAAAAGTACAAAAAAATTAAAAGCTTTTGAGAAAAGAAAAGCTTTCCTTGTCATAATGGGCCTATAAAGACTGCCAATACTAATCATTTGTTCATGCGAACTTGTACATATTTTTCTAAAGGATATTTAATGAGGCAGTGTAGGTTTAATACTGAATTTATTGTACGACTTGAATAAAATCATATTATACGAGCCTCTACGAATTTAGATGAATAATTATTTATATATTCTGCTTATCACATCATTTCAACGCTGAAGATATGCGCTATGTTTGCGCTATGTTTGAAATACGCAAAATACGCTCGTTAATCCATGTAGTAATGCATGTATCATAATACATGGCAGGGTAGGGCCGGAAGATTATAATCAGGGAAACTACGAGTAGATAATCCACACTTTAGATAAACCACATTTTAGATAATTTATAGACCTAAATCCTTACGATTATTATCCAATTAATGCCATTGTTGTCATCGGGATTCCAAGTGAGGAACTCGTCAGTCCATTTTATATGCAAATACCCGGCTGTGGAAAGACTCTCATCTTGTTCATCAAATTGTGTTATCGCTACAAAAAAAAATATTTTGTTTAGTAGTGTGGTGTTGGTAGTTTTCACTCCCGATCACGGCAGTAAAAATATCTGGCAAAAAGTAATCCCACGGAAGCATATAAAACAGCAATTAAATATGAAAATTGCAGACTGGGTTTGATTGAATCTGTACATGAGGGATAATGAAAGAGTGCAACATACCTCACGCCCCCCTGGCACCGGCTTGAGGAGTACTCAATTCTTATCACTTAAAAGTGCTGGACTCGGTGGTTCCGAAGGACCAGAAAAATATAACAACACTGAAGTGAAGTAACTTAGAATTCACCAGTGCAGAGTTCAGTCACCGCAATTTTGTTAAGTAATAATTGTTTAGTATTATTGCTTATACAATAATGATTTATATAATTATGCTTTATTATACATTATATATAATTTTTGATAATGTTACGTCCTTATTTTCGCGCTTTCTTTAATTTTGAGTTTTGCCATTAGTTAATTATTTACTTGGCATGTTTAAAATAATGTGAGAAAAAGTGGTCGGTATGCAAGTACACCCACAAATACATTGTTGAGCACCATACTGACAATCTTGGACTCGTACACACTAAAAAGCTGCAAAACCTATATTGGACTCATTGCATCGTCTATTATAGGCTTGATAGCTGAGTAATCGCCCAATAATATCAGTATTGTACTCGAAAAAGTATAATAACCGCTCATTACCATTCACAATTAAACAAATGATAACTGAAATAATAACTTACCACTAAGATGAAAGTCTATAGAGATATTAAGAACTGTGTCTTGGTCAACCAACGGCCGGATCTTCTTGTTGTATGAATTGGTTACAAAAAGTTGTGTATGCAAGTCTTGAACATCACCATGTGAATATTCTTCCGAGTCCATTGAATTTAATTTCAGTATAGTGAGATATATTAGCCAAATATGTTCCATTTTGTTTGTTAGCAAGGCAAACGCCTAGAAATTCAAAGGACGACTAAATCGGGCATGCCTTGTAGTCAGGTTGTGAAGAGGCACTTAAAATTATTTCTAGATGGAAATGTGATAAACGTTCCGAAAGCGTCCTTGTCATGAGAGATACGCCATTTTATTTATGTAGCTAGTACGGAAACGTTAAAGGGCCACCATTTGATGCGATCATGACGTGTAAGACGACTGATTTTTGTTCGATTTGATTAGATGTTTTTAACACAAATCAATTCATTTTATTCACAAAGACAAGACTATTTTTTGGTCATTTTTAGTCACTTTTCTCAAAATGCTTGAAGTTTTTTTGTTTGTTTTGTTTTTTGTTGTTGTTGTTTTTTTACGCGAATTTTTATCAAAAAAAGACAAAGACAAAAGACTTGTTGGAGGCCCTTAAACGTTTCCGTAGTCATAAGAGATCTAATCAGCTTGAAGTTCAATTGCAATGCCATAATGGTTTGTGCTTCCATTGGCGGCTCAGCAAAAGAATATCATTTTCAAAATCTACCCTAGCACTTTGAAGTTCAAATCAGTTTTGCGATATTTCTAAAAAGATAAGTTGATCAATTAGTGACTTTTTTCTGTAGTTGAAATGGAAAAGTTACTTTTTAACAAGTCACTTTTAAGTTCGTTTAAATATTTTCATAACAAACTCATTGGGAAGAAATGCATTAGAAAGATTTTTTTTGTTTAAAAGGAAAAAAACTTGAATTATATATTATACATTTCATTGATAAGTTGTAAGTTTGCGGATTATCAGTAGCAGTGTAAAAAATAATTAACTAAAGGTGCTGATTTAATCAAGAGGAAGAAATCCCAGAATACAGGCTTGAAAGTTTACATCATATCTTTTCAATCAACTGATGGTTTCATGTGCAGCCACTAATTTTACAATCATTTCTCGAATTGTTTATCGGTCTTGCCGTCCTTTACAGTTTTAAATAGTGGGAAATAGGATGTTGCCTATCACCTGAAATATCTTCTTAATTAACATGCTTCTTAATAACAAGTCCTTCTTAAAGGGACTTTACTGAGGCGTTTAATTACGACGGGAGTGGAGATTTGTGTACTGTTTGACGAAGGTTCATTAAATAAATGCTCATAATAAATCACTTAAAACGTTATCAACATTTTTACAAGCAATATTTTATAAGAATGTCCAAATGGAACATTTCTATTTTTTTATCAGAATTGAAATATTAAACAATATCCGAACGGAATATTTCTATTTTGTATTATCAGTACATGTATTTGAAATATTTATGGAAAAAATGCCCATTGTAGAGCAATCCACTTTAATCAATAAAAGTTTCTGTCAGTTTTAAACGGCCTTTGGTTAGGTAAGTTTAACATTATACCATTTTGACACTAATGTGAAATATATAATTTCTCTGCTTACATCTCTAAAGTCAAACATTATAGTGAGAAAGAATCGTATGATGTTTGTAAAGGCCCAATAAGTCACAAAAATATCATCATTTTTATTTTTCAGAAGCTTCTTTTAACATGAAAAATAAATACTTTTTTTTATTTCTCTACAGTTAATATTGGCCATATACACTGTTCTAATAGTTGAATCACTCTTTGCTTTTTAGCTGTACTCGTAAGTAAAGTGACATAGTATTTCGTAGGGAAAATAAGTAACACGTTGTAAGTATTTTGTTTCTTTTATGACAAACTGTTTCACATTCAACGCTGCTTTCCTCACTTGTTAAGCAAGAATTTTTAAAACATTATTAAAGAGAGCATTTCCTCTGCCTTAGATGAAAATTTAGGCTTAATGCAGATTTTCTAGTTTTTAAACCAAAACGTTTTCGAAATCAGGACCACTCTAACCTTGACCGCCTAAAAGCAACAAGAGCTGTTGGTTAGGACAAAGTGCTCGACTGTAATCAGTGCTTGATAGATTGTTAAACAAGAGCCTGGATAATGTAAAATTTTCAAAAAGGGTCATTATTGTGTTTAAATCAATTTCAGAGCAATGACCAATGGACAGTCACCTCCTATTGTGCTCTCAAGTAAGTGTGTGAAGTTTCAACCCATTCCCTTTAAGTAGTTTTTGAGATACCAACTTGCAGACATGGACGCCTGGATGAGTACAATAGATTTACCCTATTCACTGAATAGTCAATCTAAATGTGATCTACTCAATGAGAGTGATAGCAAATGGCAATTGAAGGCACAACATTATAAAAGTTATTTAGAAGATTGAGCGTCACTCTGACCTTGACCTTTCAGCCTCCAAACTTAAGAACAATAGGTGTCTTCTTCTCAATATGACCTTGAAAGTCAAGGTGATTCAAGGCACAATAATTCTTCGCCCTGTAAAACTCAAAGGCCCTGGATGCATGCAATGTTACTTAAGAGTAATAAAACTGAAAGGGTTTTCACGTTTCATGGTATCTGTGACCTTAGAGCATCAAAGTCAAAAGAGATGACGTCACCTCAATTATGGTGACAACAGTAGTATTAAACTTGGACAAATTTGAGGCAAATGGTTTTTAGGCTAATACTACTACCAAAATGAAGGGGGGGGGGATTAAACAAAAGAAATGTCTAGCTAAGTGTCTTTAATTTGGGTTAAAAAACAGAAATATAAACTCATGAACAGCAAAATGTTTTCAAAAAGAATATTTATTCTTATCTTAAACAAATCTTTAAGCCATTTACAATTTACAACATGCGTTTTCATTCGTGTAAACTTTTAGTTTCAAAAGTAAAACATATATACATCTATCAATAAGATTTAACGTGTTTCGCATTTGATGCAGTGGGGAGTCAAAAAAAAACAATAAACTTTTAAAACAATAAAACAGTTCCCATATCAATATCAAATAAATAAAGACAATTAACAATACGTAATTATGTACATGTATTATAAAGTCAACGCAACTGTCTACAACTTTCTACGTATAACTGTCTGTATAACTGTCTGTCTGTAGATTCGCAACTATCAACAGAATGAAGAAATGGTGATTTTAACGGATAAAACTGTGAAACTTGTGGTCAATTTTCCAAGATCACTTTTCACAAGGGGTGATAACTATAAAAATAATGGTCAATTTTCAAAGATCACATGTGATAAATGGAAATAACTGTACAACTAGAGTTAAAAATGATCAGGAAATAACTGTGAGAATAATTTTTCAATTTCCACATATCACAATTGATAAAGGGAGATAACTGTAAGAATTATGTCCGCTTTTCATGGATCACATTTGATGAGGGGAGATAACTGTAAGAATTATGTCCGCTTTTCATGGATCACATTTGATGAGGGGAAATAACTGTGAGAATAATGGTAAGTTTTCATTGAAGACGTTTGATAAAGGGAGATAACTGTAAGAAAAGTGGCCGCTTTTCATGGATCACATTTAATAAGGGGAAGTAACTGTGAGAATAAAGGTTAATTTCCATAATTACATGTGATCAGGGGAAATAACTGTAAGAATAATGGTCAGTTTCTACAGATCACATCTGATATGGGGAAATAAGTGTGAAAATGATAGTTGATTTTCTATATTTCATGTGGTCACGGGAAATAACTGTAAGAATTATTGTCAACATCCGCAGATTACATGTGCTAAGGGGAAGAAACTGTGCAGGATACTTATTCAGTAATGGTCAATTTCTAAACAGGAGAAATAATAATGGGAGATAACTAATTTTGATAGTTTGTTTTTGTTTTGTTGTATTTTTTGCTTAATTTTATGGTGCACCAACACGGTTTAGGTCATATATGGTGCCAAAACAGGACAGCTGAATTTGGCTAACATTGGGTGTTACTTACAAACCTTAATCAACACCAAGGGACAAAACCACCTGACCTGCTGGAGCTAAGAGAAAATTGAATATTGATAGTAAACTTCTACTACCAACAAGATATGTCTTAGGTAGATATATGTGAGACTATATACTGTAAATATCTACAGGCAGAGTGAACTAATGGAGGTAAATATATCATGCGATAAGGCAGATTAATGGTGAAATAAGCAATAAGTTTATCTTTGAAACCATGATGAAAAAAATAAGTTTGTATTTAAAGTAATATACATATAGCAAAATGATAAAATAAAACTTTAATTTCTTAATAAGTGTACATAACAAAATAACAAGAGCTTTCAGTAAGACAGTGCACTCTGCTATTCTCAGTACTTGAAAGTATAACAAAAGCATTGATAATGTATGAATTAATACAGAATAAAATTCATTCTAAAAATATATTTGACAGAGTACAAGTCTTGGATATTGACCAAAGAATTTTCTATGTTCACAATGGGCCATATTTCATTAAAAATGCATGCAAAATGTTACGGATCTTTGATACTGACCCAAAATTACGATCTCAAAGCAATGTATAAAAGTTTCACATGGATATCTTTAGCTAAGTTTTGAAGAGGGTCATAATTCAGTAAAAATCCTACGAAAAGTGAAGCTAAAAATAGTGTATCTTTGACTATGCAAGTATATAATAAATTAAACAGCATAATGAAAGGGTGACTTTTTAACAAATGAATGATATTTCATAAAGAATATTTGTATTGTTTCGATGGCTAAACTAACATTGCTTTAAAATTGCACAAGAATTTAAAAAGACAAAAATTCAGTGCCCTAACTATTTTAATTAACAAAAGGAATTAATGAAAAAATATGTATAAAGACAAAAATCAACCGTAATCAAAACTAGCACATTTAAATAACTTTAAAATAATAAACTGTTTAAAAATATAAAATAAAATTAAAAAAAAACATCTAGGCAGTATGTCAAAAATTTATTATTCTGTTTTGGGTCACTCCATCGTTGGTTACCCACGGTTTATATTCTGTACATAATACACTATCTAGATGTACGGAATATATACCCGTGGGTAACCAATGATGAAGTCACTCTAACCCTGCAAAGTTCATACAGCAACTTC